AAAAAACGTTGCAAAGATTAAATAGTCAAAAAGACTCCTCCTCATCCCACGGGGGCCTTAGGTAAATCATTGGCCAGTACATGGAGAAACAGCCGTGGTTGAATATCCTTGGCAAGTCAACAGCAGGAAACATGCAGCCATGTGAAAAGTTCTGCGCTACAGATCAATTTGCTCTTTTTTTCCGCAAAAAACATTCCAAACAATCTAAATACCACTCAGATTGTTAGCAGGACAGAATGAGGACATATCCAGTGCACAGAACCCAAAGGAATCCCACATAAAAACATGAAAATGTGACAAAATCAACTAAAGTCTAACTGGCAGAGCTCAATACAGCCTTTCTTATAGGGGTAATATATTAAAACTGTTTTGTGGAATGATTGATCACATATTCAAACGAGTCTGAAATTGTATGGTCGCAGCTAAAAACACCCCAAGGAATATCACTGGAATGCTGCAATTTAAAAGTTATGAGGGAACTTTCTGAATCATATCCTGTTTATTTTTTAGTTCAGCATTTTATTTTAATTCATCCCCTCTCACTAACCTGTTCATTACTGCAAAACAAACTGCCCCAAACTGTATTATCTACCGGAGGAAAGTAACAGCTCATAGATTAAACGTGATTAAACAAACTAAAGGCTTGTTCGTTAACTTTTATTTCCGTCTCTAGCATAGACATGTTTGCTCATCTTTGAAGAGCTGCAGTCTATTCACATGAGAGTCAAAACAGATATTAAGGTTTCTGGTCAGTAATGAACAGAGCTTTACTATACTACTCATGCCTGCCTGTAATCTGACTCCACAGGCAAATGAAGCTTCTGGATCCACACAAAACAGCATAGCGTTCATGAAGATAAAAGTGTTGCATGTACTCCATATGTCCTCTATCTCAGCTATTGTGTCTGCTCCCAAGTATTATCACTTAATAAATCCAATTAAATTGTGGCTGTGGAATCATTTCCCCCAAGACGCACATAAAAACAGAAAAACTTGATCCATTAAGCAATCTTTGAGCAGACAAGCTATCTTCTGTACGTGGCACACAGGTTGTTTCCTTTGGCAGCGTACACAAGCCCTTGTTTCATATAATGACTTCCTTAGTTTCACTGTTTTCCCCCTGTGCATGCAGTTTCTTAACTGTGCATCACCATGAGGGCCCGATCTGAGATGCTTTGCTTTTGCTGAGGCAGCAGAACAACAGAGAGCCATCATTTTCTCTCTCTCTCTCTCCTTATGCTTCCCACTCCTTTTTCAACATCTGGCAGTCACAGGCAAAAAAAAGCTCTTCTGTGAGTTTGACCACAGTGACTCTATAGCTTTTTGGGTGTTTTGCCAATCAAGCAGACATAAAGTGCAATCCGAAAGTTAATTCATTCAGACTCCAGGCAACATTCCCCTCCGTCACTGATGCATTCCAGAGATTTTGACGCCTGTCGGCAAGTATCCAACAGGAAATATTTTGATTTAAAAACCCAAAAAGGAGGAAATCTGTTCTCCTCACACTAATCCAATATGAGAAGAATGTAATCAGGAGTGAATATCTAACTGAAATATGTGGAAAGCAGATCTGTTATCTTGTGTGGAAAAGGCTTTTTGAGGCCACTGTTTGGATGATGAAGACATCTGTCTTGCCTTGAATGTTTTGACTTATAATAAAAAAAAGGGAAATTTGTCTTGCCTACACTAATACGATCATCAGGAAGGAGCATCTAAAAGAAAGAAAGAAAGAAAGAAAGAACTATTAAAGAAAAAAAACAAACTATGACATTGTTGATGAAGACAGGACTTCTGCTGTCCTACTCACAATCTAAAAATGGGACAAGTGTCTTTCTCACACCAACAATCTAACTGAAAGAAAGAAAGAAAGAAAGAAAGAAAGAAAGAAAATGATGACATTGCTGAAGATGAAGACATCTTGACTTGTTCACAGGATGTCACCTTACTGACTCTAAATGTGTTGCCAATACAACCTGTTTATCATGGAACGGAGAAACACTGTGACTATTTGAACTTACCACTTCGATAACTTTTAAAACACCGAAATGTGATTTGATATAGTCCAGGTCACACCTGATGGCCCTGAACACGTTTCTGGAGTGCACGGGCTCGGTGGTCGGCTGATACGGACTATTGGCTCCTGAAATCATCGAGGTGTTGGAGGCCTCGCCATCAAAGCCCTCAGTCTCCTCGTTATTCCTCATGCTGAACTCTTATCTCCACGTCCCGCCCAGATATAAGAGCTGGTTCGCGGTCCCCTGGTCCTCTGAAAACAGCCAGGCAGAAAACAATGTCTCAACAAAGAACAACCCTCGTTACAAAACGATCACCGTAAACTCCAGCCGTGTGTATGACCTACAGATCCCGATCACAAACACTACATCCACCTCTCCGTCATCTCCAGCCCCATTCCTGCAGTCGCGCTGTGCTCGGATCCTGTTGGGAAGAGTGCTGAACGATCTCGAATGATCACGGCTGTTCTCATAGCAGTGTCCATATTTCGCAGTTTCTGGATGCAGAATGTAATGTTGCGAGTCTCCGCCCTCCAAACTACATTCCTGTGAGGATAGAGGCTTTTATGTGAAGTCCTGACGACTGTTTTTAGAGAAGCAAAAGCACAAAACAGTAATACTTCTAAACGTCAAGTTTTGAGTTCTTGTCTTCCCTTTACACAGGTGAAGATCGCAATACAGGATTCATCAAACGCGAAACGACACAGCAGTTTAAAGTGTCGCTATGGCAAGCCGGTTTAACCTTTATTACTATAAACCAACCAGTTGAAACGTTTTGACATTGAATTCTATGGGGATGCTGTTTACTATATGTTCAAATTGTGGCTAGTAAGTATTCACGCTTTACTAGTACTTGTATATTACATACTCGTAGCTAAAATTAAAAAAGATTACCAACAATTACCTACTACTCATAAAAAGTATCCGTGACAAAATAACTAGTTAAATGAATAAATGTTAATTCAGCTTGCCAGTTTCCAAGCTCTAGTGCGCAGCCTACCTAGAGAGTTATATTGGTACTTATCAGCTTTATACAATTAATAAGCCACTTGTAGACTGATTTAGAAATACTGTAAATACGGTCTCTATGCCGTAATATATTTTTGGTTCTCACAATAGTATACATGCTGCCTGTAAAATACTGTAAAATAAATAAAATACTAATATATACACTAACAACATTATACACACACTCTTACAGATTACATATTCAAATATATGCATGTACACATTTTCATTTAACATCTCTAAAAATAATGGCTAGAGATGGGACAATCACTGCCCCCAACTGGTTTGGTTCCCAAAATCATGCAACCATCTGAAAACTGTAGCGACTATTAAACCATGCTTCAAATGATCAATATTAAATTAAGTATTTGTAGGTCTGAAGTACTGTAATGTGGTCTTCTAAAAAGCTGTGCATCTTGTAAAAATCAACTGACATGACAAGCAAAAAAAATCAAGACAGTTGTAGTCTGGATTTGTATTTTATTTAAGCCAGAACTGAAAAAAAAGAGGTGTCCTTATCTTTGTCTGCATTAAAAGTTTTCACATGGCCACATACTGCATCAAGTTAAAGCCATACAATCAGACTCACTTTAAGGTATAGCACACAAACAGTCCTTTGTGTGAATAGAAAGGTCTTTCAATTCCTGTATAGAAATTTTGGAAGCCAGAGCATTTTCTCAACATTTTCTTTCTTACAGGGGTAAGTGCATATTAGAAGGATTATACAGAACAAAGCGGTCAACTTTCATCCTAGTCTGAAAGAAACCTATATAAAATGTGCTGTTCGTTATATAATTGCAATCATCCCCAACCGAGGGAAAGAAATCAATGAAGATGAAGCCAAGTGAACTTGTTTCTTTTGGTGGACATCCTTAGACCTTTTATCCGTTGTGTATCTCCTTTGGGAAAACAGATGGGTTCTGAGTTAAGAAGCTTTTTCCAAGTACTTCAGGCATCTCAGGAGCAGCTTGTTAGTTTTTCAATTTCTTAGTCCATTAAGTAGTTTACATTTGCACCAAGCTACTATTAAAATCAGTAACTGTCAAACTTTGTGGAGGGAGGAAAAAAACAATGTTTAAATAGCTAACAATGTGTTACTTTTGATCATTTAACTAAGATGAATTAACAGTTCTTCACTTCCAGTAAAAGTTACAATGCCATGAAATAATTTTAAACTCAGTTTTTTTGGGGGAAATGAATTGTGTTTACAGGAATGTGTCAGTGATATTTATACAGTGAGATTATAGTCACACAGCAAATGCAGAGGATGCAATGAAATACTTAAGTGCATTTAAGGTTATATGAGCGGATTTGAAAGCAGGTCGAATGTTATATGTGATCAGAGGCTTCATTAGTGGCAGCCCCAATAAGTTCTTATACAATCTGAATAGATGAAAAACCTTAACCACTAAAACAAGAGGTATATAGTCCAGACTTAATGTTGTGCTTGAATATCAGCAAATGCTTTAGCCCTGCCCATCATAAATGGAAACCGTTACACAATATTATGCAGCAGAAATGTAAATCTCATTCGAGTTCCTTATCTCTAGTTTGGTATGAGATCTTTCTTTTCATATTTCTAACACAAGTTCATGCAAAACATCAGTAAACTCTACACTTCCCGTGGTCTATTCCCTTGAAGAGCTTAAAAAAAGGGCAAAGTCTTCAAACTTTAGTGGGAAAAAAAAATCAGACATTGAACACAGACCACCATAGTATAAGCAGAGGATCCGTTTTGGAATGATGGCTTCTCCAGGCTCAGCCAAGAGCGGCCACCTGGGAGGAATTTAGGGCAGCTACTCGACATAGATATAACATGTGGATTCTACATCTTTGGTTCCAGATTCCAATTCTCTGCGTTTTCCTTTTTCATCTGAAAATGTAATGATCATTTAAAAGCCACTCTAGCTGCTCCATTTACAGTTTCTCCACTTCAACGTTAAGGTTAAAAACCTTAGAAAAAACATTACATCATGTCTGTGGATGATTTGTCAAATGAAACCAACTAACTTAGTTTAATTTTCAGCGACCAAAAAAAAAACAAAAGGAAATCCGAAAGCAATTAGCTTGAAACAGGAGTATGATACAGTATCAGTAGTGGAAGAAAATGTTGAGAAACGTACTATGAAGACAAACAAGGCTGTTGTATGGACTCAGAACTACCCTGAGTGAAGAGACAGAGCATGTAGAGTGACAACAGTGAACGCTACACTGAAGGCAAAGTCGTCACTTCCAGTGGGCACTGAGGCAGGGCACACGAAACAAACATGCGTCGCCTACAGGGTCATCTACAGAAATCGGGAATGTTTTACGTAAATCACTTTACAGTCTTCAGGTAACATATAACAAAAAATCTGAGATCTCATTTGTAAGGACTAACAAAAGACACGACTTACAGTCTATCACTTGGCCACATGAGAATGGCGCCAGTGGCTTAAGCCACAATTTCCAACTGGGAGGTGGGACGAAATGTCCCGCTAAACACGTTTTATGTGGACGCTGACATTCGCAAAAAGAAAGGCAAGCTCCCTATGGCAGCAAAAATCTAGGCCACTGAAGTGAGCAAAACGTGTAATTGCAGCAAAAAAGTAATGACCACAGACATGCATTTCCAAAATAAAACAAACAAAAATAAATTACATGAAGCTGGACCAAAACAAATTGACTGTTAATGCTACAGTGCAATTCCTTTTTTGGAGTCAAGCACCTCCACTATGACAGGCACTTGGGAGTTATACTAGGAAAGATGCTGCCCTGCCCCTCTCCTCCAAAAACAACCATAGCCAAAAGAAAAAGCTGATACTCATCAAAGCTTGTTTCATCTGAAATAGTTCTTCATAAATTGTTAAAATAATTCAATTTTATACAAAATCAAATCAAAGTTCGTATAGCAAATATTTAGCGCATATTTACATAATTCAAAGAGGTGTGGCAGCGTCTGCCATTCTTGTATGCTGAAGGCCAATGGGTATTTGTCATTAGTGTCATGACATCAGTGATGTTAACCATGTTAAGTGAAGCTTAACGTCTCACTGATAAAACACAGAGAAAAAAATAAAAGCTTGATTTGCTTTCTTTTTTATAAATACATCAGCATAAATCTAACTGTTTGTACACACTATATACTTTTTGCAAGTATTTCTTGTTTTCAATGAATATATTTAGGCTTTTAGCAGTAGCTGTAGCTGATTGCAACACTTGAAGCGACTGCTCGTTGAATGCAGCAGTGCGTTTCTGCTCTTGTCAGGAGGAGGAGAATGGGTGCTGTTAAAGTATCCCCAAGCTAAGCAAGGCCCCACACTTCAGAGGTTTGACTGCCTCCGTAAGGACAGAGCACCCATCACCTGACCTGCCCAATGCCACACCAAAAATTAATCACCACAAATAAACAAACAAACATACATAGAAAGGGGTCTGGAAATGAAAACAAAGAAAAGCAGTTGCATCTTTTCAAATATCTACCTCTCTTTCCCCCACAACATCAGAGCCTATACATCTGATAGAATCCCAACACTTTCAGTAAACCGCGGTCTGTTTGCTGATTGACACACAAGGTGGGGGGAATTTTGGTCATGAATAGCTTTTTTTTTTCTCCTTTATGTCATTACATGTTGATTTCCAGAGTGGGCAATGCTGTTGGCGCCCTCATGCCTCGTTCTCTGTCGCAGGGGTGTTGTTGGCCGTTACCGTTGAGTCGGGTTTACGAGTCATTCGGTCCAGTTCTGCCTGGACGTCAGTCAAACCCGGCTTCTGCCCTTGGAAGAAAGAAGAGAAAGAAAACAGAGTAATCTCCTGTAGTTTCTGTCGTATATGAAAATAACACAGGTTGGTTATGGTTATGTGATGGGAACCAGTTCGGTGGATGTGGATGAGTGCTGCATGCTGGTATGCATTCAAAAGCAGCATGCTGTGCGGCTACACAAATGCAAACTTAATGAGAAGGATACGAAAAAGGAAAGAAAAAACTGCATGTGGTTCTTTATCCGAGCACAATGGGGACATAACAGCAGGTAATGAACACAGCAATGTGTTAATATATTAGCAATTCATATAAACACCTGAAACAAAATATAAAACATGAAAAGTGCAGTTGATATGAACTTGACATTATTCTAGGTATGAAAACCAGTGAGTATGAGATATCACCATCCATGGTGGCGTCACTCACACAGGCTTTTTAGCCCATGCCTCCTGGATACTCTCTCTGGCTGTAAAAGGCAAAACTCCCAAAAAAAAAATAAAACAGCATTGTCCAGAGGGAACAAAAGACATTATGATAAAAGGTGATCAGGTGAATCTCATGAATGATTGCACAGGTTTTAATTCAACCAAAAATCACAGGGGGAAAAAAAACATCCTCAGAATGTCCTGCTGTCCATGTGTACCAAGTTTTAAAGTTTAGGCATCATATTCAAAAGATAAAGGCCAATTAGTCACTACAGACCCCACTCACAAAGACACTGGCCTATCTCTCCAAAATGATAAAAGTAATTAAAATTCTTTAAAGATAAAAATAAGATAAAAATTATTTTAATAACTTTTTGTCGAGTATCTTAAGATGATGCACACCAAATTTCATGCAAATCGGACATGCTTTAAGAAACTGAGGCCAATTTTAGAACAATAAGGATTGTTTGCATTTTTACATTATTTTCAAAAATTAAGAACATTTTCCCAAACTCTAATTGCTAAAAACATAAAACAAAATAAAATAATCGTACGCACTGCAATACAATACAATATTGTAGTATTTCATTATGCAAAATACCATTTTTTTCCCTTATGATTTTGGGGTGAAATATGACCCATACAGGGCAGTTTTTTTGAGATTCACCTGTTCCTGGGGTTGAGGCTGGAATAGGAAGAACTTACCTGTTTTCTTGGCAGAGCCTTGTACGCCCGTTCCTGTTGCTGCCCCTGGTGTCCCAGGACTGCCCGGCACACCTGTCTTTTTACTCAGCAGACTGTTGAAGAAGTTGGCCAGCACTCCCTCATTTGCTGCTGCTCCTATAAACACACAAACAATTTAAACATAATGACCTCATGTGACAATGGGGATACCCAACTGATATTCATTGTTCAAAAGCAAACATACATCCAGATTCACAATCACCACCACTATAATATTAAAAGGGCTTAGTATGTCTATTAACAAAAAATTGGTGAAAACTGAAATATTTAAATGTGGAATATGATACCTGATACCTTATATGGTGAGAAGGTTTAAGAATTCAATTAAAGTTGATTTAATTAAAGCGACTGAATCTATTCCTGCTGGTTTGAAACATGCTGACCAGCTGAGCTTAATGATCGGAAAATTTCATTTTTCCCCACACCAACTGGAATGCATGGGAATATTCTGTTTAGGGAATTATTCCTACATTCTCCTCATGAGGGCAGTGTTTTAAAGAGGTTAGACTGTTGAGGCAAAGGCAGAGGGATGAACCAGCAAAATGAGACGAGTGGGAAAGAAAATAAAAGAACATGGAGAGAAACAGAGAACAAAGTGCTCATATTAAGACTCTCACAAAAACACAGCAGGTAATGAACACAGCAATGTGTTAATATATTAGCAATTCATATAAACACCTGAAACAAAATATAAAACATGAAAAGTGCAGTTGATATGAACTTGACATTATTCTAGGTATGAAAACCAGTGAGTATGAGATATCACCATCCATGGTGGCGTCACTCACACAGGCTTTTTAGCCCATGCCTCCTGGATACTCTCTCTGGCTGTAAAAGGCAAAACTCCCAAAAAAAAAATAAAACAGCATTGTCCAGAGGGAACAAAAGACATTATGATAAAAGGTGATCAGGTGAATCTCATGAATGATTGCACAGGTTTTAATTCAACCAAAAATCACAGGGGGAAAAAAAACATCCTCAGAATGTCCTGCTGTCCATGTGTACCAAGTTTTAAAGTTTAGGCATCATATTCAAAAGATAAAGGCCAATTAGTCACTACAGACCCCACTCACAAAGACACTGGCCTATCTCTCCAAAATGATAAAAGTAATTAAAATTCTTTAAAGATAAAAATAAGATAAAAATTATTTTAATAACTTTTTGTCGAGTATCTTAAGATGATGCACACCAAATTTCATGCAAATCGGACATGCTTTAAGAAACTGAGGCCAATTTTAGAACAATAAGGATTGTTTGCATTTTTACATTATTTTCAAAAATTAAGAACATTTTCCCAAACTCTAATTGCTAAAAACATAAAACAAAATAAAATAATCGTACGCACTGCAATACAATATTGTAGTATTTCATTATGCAAAATACCATTTTTTTCCCTTATGATTTTGGGGTGAAATATGACCCATACAGGGCAGTTTTTTTGAGATTCACCTGTTCCTGGGGTTGAGGCTGGAATAGGAAGAACTTACCTGTTTTCTTGGCAGAGCCTTGTACGCCCGTTCCTGTTGCTGCCCCTGGTGTCCCAGGACTGCCCGGCACACCTGTCTTTTTACTCAGCAGACTGTTGAAGAAGTTGGCCAGCACTCCCTCATTTGCTGCTGCTCCTATAAACACACAAACAATTTAAACATAATGACCTCATGTGACAATGGGGATACCCAACTGATATTCATTGTTCAAAAGCAAACATACATCCAGATTCACAATCACCACCACTATAATATTAAAAGGGCTTAGTATGTCTATTAACAAAAAATTGGTGAAAACTGAAATATTTAAATGTGGAATATGATACCTGATACCTTATATGGTGAGAAGGTTTAAGAATTCAATTAAAGTTGATTTAATTAAAGCGACTGAATCTATTCCTGCTGGTTTGAAACATGCTGACCAGCTGAGCTTAATGATCGGAAAATTTCATTTTTCCCCACACCAACTGGAATGCATGGGAATATTCTGTTTAGGGAATTATTCCTACATTCTCCTCATGAGGGCAGTGTTTTAAAGAGGTTAGACTGTTGAGGCAAAGGCAGAGGGATGAACCAGCAAAATGAGATGAGTGGGAAAGAAAATAAAAGAACATGGAGAGAAACAGAGAGAACAAAGTGCTCATATTAAGACTCTCACAAAAACACTGTGTTTTCGCTTGACTGCACAATCATATGTTATTTGTGCCAGTCTGAGAGCCATGAGATCACAAAGCTTCATTTAAGTTCTGCATCAAGTGGTGCGTGTAATCTTGCGAGGTAAGATATCTTACCTTTCATGTTGGGGTCTGGTTTCTTCACCGCAGTCATGGGTGAGACACTTGCCACATTGGTGGGCCCTGTCCGGCCTGTCGGCCGGGGTGAACCAGATGCAGACCGGACAGGAGACTCCTATGCAAACACACAAAAAACAGGTGTTAGGGAAATGCAAAAACAATTCAGAAGATTTATATTTCCCACTACATGAAATCAGCAATCAAAAGAAATCTAAAGTACAATAAAAAAAATAAAAAAAAACAAGGATTCAGTGGCTTTTGTAAAAGCATAAAACTTTAGTCTCACAACATGATCACAGAATCCTCAAACCAGCATAATAGTATCACACTTAAAATTGTGAGAGGTCTGTGTGGTGTCTGAAGTCACACTTACTGTTCCTCTTGTTGGTGTGGCCGGCTGCTTGGCTAACATTGACTGTAATAAAGTGACAGAAGACATGAGTTATATATATTATATATAAATATAAATATTGCTGTGTAAAACGGTCATAACTAAAGCTATTTCATTATTTTTAACTATGTACACTACCATTTAAAAGTTTGGGGCCAGTCATTTCTTAAAGTCCCCCTGTAGTGAAAATCAAGTTTTTTTTATGTTGTTTATTTGTCTATATGGTATTTTTAATATGCCTAAGCAAAAAACCCATGAAGCTGTGGTTTAATGTGAATTTAGAACCTCTAACTTGCATTATAACCCGCGCCAAACGTGTAAAAGTAGCCCGGAGTCAGACGCACCTCTCCCGCATCGGCATCTGCACTTCACACGCATATGTATGCTCGCGGGCGCAAATTAAGAATCACAAACGGCTGTATTCGA